TAGGTGGGTCATTAGGCTAAATGGGGGGGACATGGACCTGCTTCGCATGGGTCAGTAGGCTTGTTGCAGTGCTCTTTCTTATGTTCTTATAAATTTATGTAAATTCATGAATATTTCGTTATAAACAGAAGTATATTCATTAATATTTCATTATAAACTGATGTACATTCATGAAGAGCATTATATGTGACTAGTGAGGGAGTCATTATATGTGACTAGTGAGGGAGTCATTATATGTGACTAGTGAGGGAGTCATTATATGTGACTAGTGAGGGAGTCATTATATGTGACTAGTGAGGGAGTCATTATATGTGACTAGTGAGGGAGTCATTATATGTGACTAGTGAGGGAGTCATTATATGTGACTAGTGAGGGAGTCATTATATGTGACTAGTGAGGGAGTCGTTATATGTGACTAGTGAGGGAGTCATTATATGTGACTAGTGAGGGAGTCATTATATGTGACTAGTGAGGGAGTCATTATATGTGACTAGTGAGGGAGTCGTTATATGTGACTAGTGAGGGAGTCATTATATGTGACTAGTGAGGGAGTCATTATATGTGACTAGTGAGGGAGTCATTATATGTGACTAGTGAGGGAGTCATTATATGTGACTAGTGAGGGAGTCATTATATGTGACTAGTGAGGAGTCATTATATGTGACTAGTGAGGGAGTCGTTATATGTGACTAGTGAGGGAGTCATTATATGTGACTAGTGAGGGAGTCATTATATGTGACTAGTGAGGAAGTCATTATATGTGACTAGTGAGGGAGTCGTTATATGTGACTAGTGAGGGAGTCATTATATGTGACTAGTGAGGGAGTCATTATATGTGACTAGTGAGGGAGTCGTTATATGTGACTAGTGAGGGAGTCATTATATGTGACTAGTGAGGGAGTCATTATATGTGACTAGTGAGGGAGTCGTTATATGTGACTAGTGAGGGAGTCATTATATGTGACTAGTGAGGGAGTCATTACATGTGACTAGTGAGGGAGTCATTATATGTGACTAGTGAGGGAGTCATTATATGTGACTAGTGAGGGAGTCATTACATGTGACTAGTGAGGGAGTCATTATATGTGACTAGTGAGGGAGTCATTATATGTGACTAGTGAGGGAATCATTATATGTAACTAGTGAGGGAGTCATTATATGTGACTAGTGAGGGAATCATTATATGTGACTAGTGAGGGAGCCATTATATGTGACTAGTGAGGGAGTCATTATATGTGACTAGTGAGGGAATCATTATATGTAACTAGTGAGAGAGTCATTATATGTGACTAGTGAGGGAGTCATTATATGTGACTAGTGAGGGAGTCACTATATGTGACTAGTGAGGGAGTCATTATATGTGACTAGTGAGGGAGTCATTATATGTGACTAGTGAGGGAGCCATCATATGTGACTAGTGAGGGAGTCATTATATGTGACTAGTGAGGGAGTCATTATATGTGACTAGTGAGGGAGTCATTATATGTGGCTAGTGAGGGAGTCATTATATGTGACTAGTGAGGGAGTCATTATATGTGACTAGTGAGGGAGTCATTATATGTGACTAGTGAGGGAGTCATTATATGTGACTAGTGAGGGAGCCATTATATATGACTAGTGAGGGAGTCATTATATGTGACTAGTGAGGGAGTCATTATGTGTGACTAGTGAGGGAGTCATTATATGTGACTAGTGAGGGAGTCATTATATGTGACTAGTGAGGGAGTCATTATATGTGACTAGTGAGGGAGCCATTATATGTGACTAGTGAGGGAGTCATTATATGTGACTAGTGAGGGAGTCATTATATGTGACTAGTGAGGGAGTCATTATATGTGACTAGAGAGGGAATCATTATATGTGACTATTGAAAGAGTCATTATATGTGACTAGTGAGGGAGTCATTATATGTGACTAGTGAGGGAGTCATTATATGTGACTAGTGAGGGAGTCATTATATGTGACTAGTGAGGGAGTCATTATATGTGACTAGTGAGGGAGTCATTATATGTGACTAGTGAGGGAGTCATTATATGTGACTAGTGAGGGAGTCTTTATGTGTGACTAGTGAGGGAGTCATTATATATGACTAGTGAGGGAGTCATTATATGTGACTAGTGAGGGAGTCCTTATATGTGACTAGTGAGGGAGTATTATATGTGACTAGTGAGGGAGTCATTATATGTGACTATTGAGGGAGTCATTATATGTGACGAGTGAGGGAGTCATTATATGTGACTAGTGAGGGAGTCATTATATGTGACTAGTGAGGGAGTCATTATATGTGACTAGTGAGGGAGTCGTTATATGTGACTAGTGAGGGAGTCATTATATGTGACTAGTGAGGGAGTCATTATATGTGACTAGTGTGGGAGTCGTTATATGTGACTAGTGAGGGAGTCATTATATGTGACTAGTGAGGGAGCCATTATATATGACTAGTGAGGGAGTCATTATATGTGACTAGTGAGGGAGTCATTATGTGTGACTAGTGAGGGAGTCATTATATGTGACTAGTGAGGGAGTCATTATATGTGACTAGTGAGGGAGTCGTTATATGTGACTAGTGAGGGAGCCATTATATGTGACTAGTGAGGGAGTCATTATATGTGACTAGTGAGGGAGTCATTATATGTGACTAGTGAGGGAGTCATTATATGTGACTAGAGAGGGAATCATTATATGTGACTATTGAAAGAGTCATTATATGTGACTAGTGAGGGAGTCATTATATGTGACTAGTGAGGGAGTCATTATATGTGACTAGTGAGGGAGTCATTATATGTGACTAGTGAGGGAGTCATTATATGTGACTAGTGAGGGAGTCTTTATGTGTGACTAGTGAGGGAGTCATTATATATGACTAGTGAGGGAGTCATTATATGTGACTAGTGAGGGAGTCCTTATATGTGACTAGTGAGGGAGTATTATATGTGACTAGTGAGGGAGTCATTATATGTGACTATTGAGGGAGTCATTATATGTGACTAATGAGGGAGTCATTATATGTGACTAGTGAGGGTGTCATTATATGTGACTAGTGAGGGAGTCATTATATGTGACTAGTGAGGGAGTCATTATATGTGACTAGTGAGGAAGTCATTATATGTGACTAGTGAAGAAGTCATTATATGTGACTAGTGAGGGAGTCATTATATGTGACTAGTGAGGGAGTCATTATATGTGACTAGTGAAGGAGTCATCATATGTGACTAGTGAGGGAGTCATTTTATGTGACTAGTGAGAGAGTCATTATATGTGAATAGTGAGGGAGTCATTATATGTGACTAGTGAGGGAGTCATTATATGTGACAAGTGAGGGAGTCATTATATGTGACTAGTGAGGGAGTCATTACGCTATGTCAACAACACCTCTTAACTGTGAACTGCATCAGTCATATGTAAGTGTTTAAACAGTTGTTAGCCTCATACATTTATTGTGCACCCCATACCCATGGTATGGGTGGTAGTCACCCCATACCCATGGTATGGGTGGTAGTCACCCCATACCCATGGTATGGGTGGTAGTCACCCCATACCCATGGTATGGGTGGTAGTTACCCCATACCCATGTTATTGGTAGTAGTCACCCCATATCCATGGTATGGGTGGTAGTCACCCCATACCCATGGAATGGGTGGTAGTCACACCATACCCATGGTAAGGGTGGTAGTCACACCATACCCATGGTATGGGTGGTAGTCACTCCATACCCATGGTATGGGTGGTAGTCACACCATACCCATGGTATGGGAGGTAGTCACCCCATACCCATGGTATGGGTGGTAGTCACCCCATACCCATGGTATGGGTGGTAGTTACACCATACTCATGCTACGGGTGGTGGTCACACCATACTCATCGTATGGGTGGTAGTCACCCCATACCCATGGTGTGGGTGGTAGTCACCCCATACCCATGGTGTGGGTAGTAGTCACCCCAAACCCATGGTGTGGGTGGTAGTCACCCCATACCCATGGTATAGGTGGTAGTCACACCATACCCATAGTATGGATGGTAGTCACAACATACCCATAGTATGGATGGTAGTCATCCCATACCCATGGTATGGATGTTAGTCATCCCATACCCATGGTGTGGGTGGTAGTCACACGATACCCATGGTATGGGTGGTAGTTACCCCATACCCATGGAATGGGGTGTAGTCACGGCATACCCATGATGTGGGTGGTAGTCACTCCATACCCATGGAGTGGGTGGTAGTCACCCCATACCCATGGTGTGAGTAGTAGTCACACCATACCCATGGTGTGGGTGGTAGTCACCCCATACCCATGGTGTGGGTGGTAGTAACACCATACCCATGGTGTGGGGGGGTAGTAACACCATACATAAATTACATGAATTACTAAAATGTTAGAGTGTCTTTTATAAGTGGTTCTGAGTTACTTATGACACTTTATATTATAGGAAGGTATCCTGGAATATAAACAGGTTAAAGTGGGTTATGTGTTATTTGCAGTGAGCAAAGTCAGGGTATTTTTTCCAAAATGGTTGATCATATGCCACTTTGGATGAAATACTTCGACATTTCTTGAATATTTGTAAGTTGTCTCTGAATTCACCAGTTTTATCGCAATGCTTCACGTATTGACGCTGTTTGTGACAATATTCCATGTGTTGTGTTCGTCAGGAGACACAGAAGTTGTGACATGGTGCTAAGATATATGATATTTCTCTCTCTAGAACTTATGGTCATTATGTTCGACGCCTTCGGTCCACTGCGAACAAGTTAAGCATCACATCGCATGTTGTGAGTTCATCTCCACAGACACGTATAGGAATTTCGTCAGCCATTGAGAGTTTTAAAAGAATTACATGCTGAACAAATTGTTAAATAAGTAAGTTTATCCACGTATACACAATACAAAGATTATCATACATAGCAGCATATGTGTAGAGAACCTGAAATAACCCAAAAATCTCAGACAGAATGACTTATTTCCATTGGGGATATTACTAGGAAAACCGTATTCAAATTAAATCAAATCAATAGTTTATTCTCTGGAAAGATTACAATTTGTGGTTTGCATATTATAAAATACTAATTACAAAGAGGGCCACTATCATGCCTAGCATAACTAGGCGTTTCAGTCAGACTAATTCAAACTGTATATTGATACAAGTTATGGAGGATATTGATATTAAAGCTAGGTAACTACATTATAGTTTGTAAATTTAGCAATGAGAATGGTTGGTCTTGGCACGATACACAGTTTACATTATAGCTCCTATATTGGAGTATCTCAGGCAAACTTATGACTAGTTTAAGATTTGTTTGGCAATAGCTTTATTCGACCTTTTATGTTTACAGTCATTTGGGTGAGTGTAAGTGTAAATTGAGGGGAAACACAGGTATCGAGAGTAGATCTAGTCTGTTCTTTTATGTATCATCCTGTAGCCACACAGGTTACGGCGTTAGACTCTTCTAATACTTTTAATTATTCCGCCGAGAACCTGGAAAAGAAGTGCAAACATCCTTTTCTCGGAGTCTCTGGAAATAAAGAGAGAAATTTTAGCATATTGGTAAGGACAATTAGGTAGAGTATCTGTCTCGATAATGGAGGACGGAGGATCGAGCCTCCAACAATTAATGCATTTAATGATATACAGGCTATAGCGATTCATAAAAAATACAGTAATGCTGAGTTTATCGAGTAATGTGTATGGACGAATTTTAATTGCTACTAACTGAAAAAAAAGAGAATCTGTGATTGTACAAGAAAGTGAAGATGCAATAAATGAACCTTCACACTGATGCAAGTAACTGACCACTACTTGTGTCTCTAGATATCAGCACTTCTTAAAGGCTGGACAGAGGAGAGACACTGAATGAACTGGGTGGTATATTGTTAAAATATGAATGCAACGTTGAGAACCCAGACCCAGGACCCATTATGTGCCAGGGTACACTCTTGACTGCCGCACACACCATGGGCAGGAAGTACACAATCAAGATTTTAAACTAACTTAAAGTTGAGGCACACTTTAGAGAGTGTAAACAAAAAGAACTTGTTATTTAAAGAAAATGTTGGTGTACTAAGTGTTACTGCCAGTGTTGAGTGTACTAAGTTAATGTTACTGCCAGTGTTGAGTGTACTAAGTTAATGTTACTGCCAGTGTTGAGTGTACTAAGTTAATGTTACTGCCAGTGTTGAGTGTACTAAGTTAATGTTACTGCCAGTGTTGAGTGTACTAAGTTAATGTTACTGCCAGTGTTGAGTGTACTAAGTTAATGTTACTGCCAGTGTTGAGTGTACTAAGTTAATGTTACTGCCAGTGTTGAGTGTACTAAGTTAATGTTACTGCCAGTGTTGAGTGTACTAAGTTAATGTTACTGCCAGTGTTGAGTGTACTAAGTTAATGTTACTGCCAGTGTTGAGTGTATTAAGTGTTACTACTAGTGTTGAGTGTACTAAGTTAATGTTACTGCCAGTGTTGAGTGTACTAAGTTAATGTTACTGCCAGTGTTGAGTGTATTAAGTGTTGCTACTAGTGTTGAGTGTACTAAGTTAATGTTACTGCCAGTGTTGAGTGTATTAAGTGTTACTACTAGTGTTGAGTGTACTAAGTTAATGTTACTGCCAGTGTTGAGTGTACTAAGTTAATGTTACTGCCAGTGTTGAGTGTATTAAGTGTTACTACTAGTGTTGAGTGTACTAAGTTAATGTTACTGCCAGTGTTGAGTGTACTAAGTTAATGTTACTGCCAGTGTTGAGTGTATTAAGTGTTGCTACTAGTGTTGAGTGTACTAAGTTAATGTTACTGCCAGTGTTGAGTGTATTAAGTGTTGCTACTAGTGTTGAGTGTATTAAGTCAATGTTACTGCCAGTGTTGAGTGTATTAAGTCAATGTTACTGCCAGTGTTGAGTGTATTAAGTGTTGCTACTAGTGTTGAGTGTATTAAGTCAATGTTACTGCCAGTGTTGAGTGTACTAAGTGTTGCTACTAGTGTTGAGTGTATTAAGTCAATGTTACTGCCAGTGTTGAGTGTATTAAGTGTTGCTACTAGTGTTGAGTGTATTAAGTCAATGTTACTGCCAGTGTTGAGTGTATTAAGTGTTGCTACTAGTGTTGAGTGTATTAAGTCAATGTTACTGCCAGTGTTGAGTGTATTAAGTGTTACTACTAGTGTTGAGTGTACTAAGTCAATGTTACTGCCAGTGTTGAGTGTATTAAGTGTTGCTACTAGTGTTGAGTGTACTAAGTCAATGTTACTGCCAGTGTTGGGTGTATTAAGTGTTGCTACTAGTGTTGAGTGTACTAAGTCAATGTTACTGCCAGTGTTGAGTGTATTAAGTGTTACTACTAGTGTTGAGTGTACTAAGTCAATGTTACTGCCAGTGTTGAGTGTATTAAATGTTACTACTAGTGTTGAGTGTACTAAGTCAATGTTACTGCCAGTGTTGAGTGTATTAAGTGTTACTACTAGTGTTGAGTGTACTAAGTCAATGTTACTGCTAGTGTTGAGTGTACTAAGTCAATGTTACTGCCAGTGTTGAGTGTATTAAGTGTTACTACTAGTGTTGAGTGTACTAAGTCAATGTTACTGCCAGTGTTGAGTGTACCAAGTCAATGTTACTGCCAGTGTTGAGTGTACTAAGTCAATGTTTCTGCCAGTGTTGAGTGTATTAAGTGTTACTACTAGTGTTGAGTGTACTAAGTCAATGTTACTGCCAGTGTTGAGTGTACTAAGTCAATGTTACTGCCAGTGTTGAGTGTATTAAGTGTTACTACTAGTGTTGAGTGTACTAAGTCAATGTTACTGCCAGTGTTGTGTATTAAGTGTTACTACTAGTGTTGAGTGTACTAAGTCAATGTTACTGCCAGTGTTGAGTGTATTAAGTGTTACTACTAGTGTTGAGTGTACTAAGTCAATGTTACTGCCAGTGTTGAGTGTATTAAGTGTTACTACTAGTATTGAGTGTACTAAGTCAATGTTACTGCCAGTGTTGAGTGTACTAAGTCAATGTTACTGCCAGTGTTGAGTGTATTAAGTGTTACTACTAGTGTTGAGTGTACTAAGTCAATGTTACTGCCAGTGTTGAGTGTACTAAGTCAATGTTACTGCCAGTGTTGAGTGTACTAAGTCAATGTTACTGCCAGTGTTGAGTGTATTAAGTGTTACTACTAGTGTTAAGTGTACTAAGTCAATGTTACTGCCAGTGTTGAGTGTATTAAGTGTTACTACTAGTGTTGAGTGTACTAAGTCAATGTTACTGCCAGTGTTGAGTGTACTAAGTCAATGTTACTGCCAGTGTTGAGTGTATTAAGTGTTACTGCTAGTGTTGAGTGTACTAAGTTAATGTTACTGCCAGTGTTGAGTGTATTAAGTGTTACTACTAGTGTTGAGTGTACTAAGTCAATGTTACTGCCAGTGTTGAGTGTACTAAGTCAATGTTACTGCCAGTGTTGAGTGCATTAAGTGTTACTACTAGTGTTGAGTGTACTAAGTCAATGTTACTGCCAGTGTTGAGTATTAAGTGTTACTACTAGTGCTGAGTGTACTAAGTCAATGTTACTGCCAGTGTTGAGTGTACTAAGTCAATGTTACTGCTAGTGTTGAGTGTATTAAGTGTTACTACTAGTGTTGAGTGTACTAAGTCAATGTTACTGCTAGTGTTGAGTGTACTAAGTCAATGTTACTGCCAGTGTTGAGTGTATTAAGTGTTACTACTAGTGTTGAGTGTACTAAGTCAATGCTACTGCCAGTGTTGAGTGTACTAAGTCAATGTTACTGCCAGTGTTGAGTGTATTAAGTGTTACTACTAGTGTTGAGTGTACTAAGCCAATGTTACTGCCAGTGTTGAGTGTACTAAGTATTACTACTAGTGTTGAGTGTACTAAGTCAATGTTACTGCCAGTGTTGAGTGTATTAAGTGTTACTACTAGTGTTGAGTGTACTAAGTCAATGTTACTGCTAGTGTTGAGTGTACTAAGTCAATGTTACTGTCAGTGGTGAGTGTACTAAGTCAATGTTACTGCCAGTGTTGAGTGTATTAAGTGTTACTACTAGTGTTGAGTGTAGTAAGTCAATGTTACTGCCAGTGTTGAGTGTGTTAAGTGTTACTGCTAGTGTTGAGAGTACAAAGTCAGCGTTACTGCTAGTGTTGAGTGTACTGTTTCTGCTATTGTTCAGTGTACTAAGTCAATGTTACTGCTAATGTTGAGTGTATTATGTTAGTGTTACTGCTAGTGTTGAGTGTACTGTTTCTGCTAGTGTTCAGTGTACTACGTCAATGTTGAGTGTACTAAGTCAGTGTTACTGCTAGTGTTGAGTGTACTAAGTGTTACTGCTAGTGTTGAGTGTACTAAGTCAGTGTTACTGCTAGAGTTGAGTGTACCAAGTCAGTGTTTCTGCTAGTGTTGAGTGTACTAAGTCAGTGTTACTGCTAGAGTTGAGTGTACCAAGTCATTGTTACTGCTAGAGTTAAGTGTACCAAGTCAGTGTTACTGCTAGTGTTGAGTGTACTAAGTCAGTGTTACTACTAGTGTTGAGTGTACTAAGTCAGTGTTACTGCTAGAGTTGAGTATACTAAGTCGGTGTTACTGCTAGTGTTGAGTGTACTAAGTGTTACTGCTAGTGTTGAGTATACTAAGTCGGTGTTACTGCTAGTGTTGAGTGTACTAAGTGTTACTGCTAGTGTTGAGTATACTAAGTCAGTGTTACTGCTAGTGTTGAGTGTACTAAGTGTTACTGCTAGTGTTGAGTATACTAAGTCGGTGTTACTGCTAGTGTTGAGTGTACTAAGTGTTACTGCTAGTGTTGAGTATACTAAGTCAGTGTTACTGCTAGTGTTGAGTGTACTATGAATTTTTGCAACTTTCTTTCTGTAAATATGAATTAAAGAAGGATATCACAGTATTATGAGTGCCTGTGGTAGTGGTGTGTCTAGTGGATTCTCCTTCAAGGAATTCAAGACTACGTAGACTACCCAAGACTGAGGCATCTCTCGTAGTATCATTAAGTGATTAGTAGACTACGAGATCATTCCTGTCAAATATATTTGAACTTCCTGTCTACATATTTCTTTTTATGATGTATTTCTTCATATATTTTTTAAGACGGAACTGCCGGTGTTATTTTTTCTCAGTGTATCAGCGGGAGGAAGATCGAGGGAAAGATTTCATTGATATGAAACACACGACTTCCTCTCTGGGCTATTTTTATGATGCGTTTCTTCAGGTCTTAGAGAAGAATAGATAAAAAAATATTCATAGCTAACAATTTCCTTAAATTTTAATAATTACGTCTGATGTCATTTTTCATAAGGATTCCTGCACCAATCTATACAACCGATCTTTGTTATAGATACTGAAAATTAAATGAAAAAAAAAAGCTTTTCTCCATTATACGTTAATTCAATATGAGTAAAAAATACATTGAGAAGTTTTACCAATGTCTGGATACATATCTGTGCTTTTCCTGGCATCCAACATCTATAAAAAAGTCAAGACGATCTTTTTCTTGAAGGCAAAAACTCCTTCCTTTCT